AATGTCTCTACAGTGGCGCCCGAACTAAAAGGGGTGTTGGATGAGGATTCTGCACACCCAGAATTTGGCAATTGGGTCCCCTAAAGCCCCAGTCGCCCTTTAAAAAGGAGAGTATATAAGGTATTTCTCCCGCTTTCCTAGCGTGCGTTCGTGGTCTAGTGGTTCTGCAGGCTGGGCCGCCGGTACTCCAGAGGTCCGCTGCTCGGTTCCCGGCGAAGGCGTTGCATATTTTTCATCTCTTCTGCTTCCAAAAAATAACCTAATATTTCTACACGTTTACGCATCAACAACAGGTATAGAAGCAGTTTTACAACAAAACGATCAAGAATTATGGAGACCACTTTCATATTTTTCTAAAAAACTCTGACCAGCACAAACCAGATACAGCACTTACGATCGCGAGTTATTAGGAACTTATGAAGCTGTCAAATATTTTTGACATATGCTAGAGGGACGCGTTTTCATGATCTTCACGGATCAAAACCCCTTAACGTATGCTTTTCAACAGCGTTCAGATAAAGCTTCTCCTGGTCAAATGAGACACCTAGACTTCATAGGGCAATTTTCAAAGATATCCGTTATATTGAGGGTTCGCAGAATATTGCAGACACCTTGTCTCCTATTGAAGAACTAGCCGTTCCTTCGCCAATTAAACTTTGCTGCCCTTGCGGATAAGCAACACCGGGGGATTCAGAACTACAAACCTCTTTCGAAAAGCAAATCTTCCACCAATCTCAACTTGCAGCCTATGCAGCTGTCACCTTGAAAAATCACTTTATTGATTGTAATGTTCAGGATTTCAAGATTTCGACCTTATGTTCCCTCCGGGTTTCGCTATGCCATTTTTAGTCAGTTACATCGTCTGTCACATCCTGGCCATCAAGGCTTCGAGGAAACTGATACAGCAACGTTTCGTATGGCCTAGCATGCGAAAAGGACATAGCCAAATGGACACGTTCGTGCTTGGAGTGCCAAAGATCTAAAATTGTCAGACACACCACCAGCCAACTTTAAAAAGTTTTAATTTGCCCTCATATCGCTTCAATCACGTGCACCTCGAACTTGGTCGGGCACTTATATTCGTTAATAAATAATATAATACATGAATACAATTAATTACTATGTATACATTTTTCATACCTTGGATGAAGCAAATTTATCATTTACTTCATCGAAGTCGATCCTTTCAACTTTTTCTCTTTGCACACTTAAAAATGCTAGATAACTTAGGGGATCTTGTCCCATCGTTGATTGTAAATATGTGAAAATTTATTTTAATTTGCTGAACGAACATTTATAGCTAGCATTTGATAATGAATTAGTAAGGAGTATTTGAAGTGCGACTCTTAGGTTTTGAAAAACATTTTCTCCATAGATCTGTAGTGGACTTTTAGGTTCCGTTTCTTTTCTACTGCGGAGTAACGCCATGCAGTCACATTCACTGCTCAAAACAATTAGGGAATATTGTGGGTTCGGTATGAAATAACCATATAATCGACAACCTTTTTGAACAAAAGGAAATAGAAGAGATTATAAAGGAAAACTATAACGTTTACAAAGTTGCGAATATGCAAATTTAGTCTGGGACGTCGAAAACTATGCGTTTTAGATAAGGAGTAAGGAGCCACTTGCAGTATATTCCTTTGTAAAAGGAGATTAAAAACAATTGACAAGCGTTGAATGCTTCGTAGCAGTGAATATACGATGTCTCAGCAAGATGACTTAGTTGAATCGGTAGCCAGGAAGGCCATCAGTCGTTTACAGGAGAGTCAAACGCAATCCATTGTAGCGGAAGCGTTAGGATTTTCCCAAAATGTCATTTCCAGATTATGGAATCGGATTTTGAAAATTAAATATGTTTGAGAAATTCCATACAAGGTCGTGTTATCGTTTTAAAATAAAAAGCGGGAGATATACATGCATTTCGTTTAAAAGAAATAAAAATATATCTCTCTCTTGGAGAAATAAAGTGGTCAGAAAGAATGTTTTGGTTGATGTACTGCAACATTTTATACACGTTTTATCAGAAAACTCAAGAAAATAAATAATTAATTATATTACAACAGTTATTAATTTTAAATATATTTTCCAGAAATCGATCAAAATAAAAACTGAAATTTTTCAGGAAAATCTTGTTTGGAGACCATTTGGCGCCCCTCTACGAGCGGCGCCCGGGGCATCATGCACCCCCTTGCCCCCTCCTCGCTACGCCACTGCTTGTGGGGGTGCAAGGAGTAGGGTATCAGCCGTTATGACAGCGTACACGAAAGAGGATACGCTGTCATAACGGTGTACACGAAAGATGTCTTCAAAGCACAACAGTGGCAAAAAGTCAAAGCTGGCTGATACGGATAGACGGGTCTTGAATCACATAGTAGACCAAAAGCACAAGCAGTCATTATCCGAGATAACATCTGAAATGAACAGTCACCTTCAGAACTCCGTTTCAACAAAAACTGTCAAAAGGGAACTTCATGCTGCGAACATTTATGGCAGAGTGTCAATTCATAAACCCTTGGTGATAGCAACTAATGCGACGCCAGTGGTGCAGAGATCGCAAAGGCTGGCCCTGACAGCAGTGGCAACAGGTAATATGGTAAGATGAATTGTCATTCACCCTATTTCAGATGACTGGACGTGTTTATGTGTGGAGAACGCCCAAAGAAGCATTTCATCCTGACTGCCTCTTGCCGACTGTGAAGCATGGGAGTATCACCATTATGGTGTGGGGTGATATCTTGGCACGGTTTTGGGCCACTTGTTATTCTGCATGTGATGATCACATTCAATCACTATCTAAGCATTCTAGGGGATCATGTCCATCCTTTTTGTCCAGATTGTATTCCCTAGGGAGCGACCACTTTTACAAGACGACAACGCCCCTATCCACACTGCTAGGTGTATTCAAGAATGGTTCGAAGAGCATGACGATGCAGTTGAACATCTCGCTTGGTCCCCCTCAGTCTCCAGACTTGAATATTATTGAACATTTATGGGCATATTTGGAGTCCAAACTTTGTTCCCAATTTCCACCTCTCTCTGGACTTTCAGAATTAGAGACCGCTCTGCAGGAGGAATTACTTAATAATATTCCTTTAACTATTGTCCATGACCTTTGTGCATCTATCCCACGTTGCATTCAATCTGTACTTCAGTCAAAAGGTGGTCCAACCCCCTATTTTTTTAGTTATTATTATTATTATTTTTTCTTATTACGTGCTCCGCCCTTGGGCACTACACGGAAAGGGAGGGATGCCCCATGAAGATCTTTTTAAGGGAAACTGGCTCGTATCCACGTTGCACATGGGGAAAAACACGAAAACGCCCATGCAGCCAGCCCGTTCGCCAGGACTCGAACCCTGGACCGAATTCCAGTGTTCAGCGGCTTTTACCGCTCGGCCGCTAGTGGGCCCTCCAACCCCCTATTAATAAAGATTTTCCATTATTTCACAGGTGATCGTATTATTTTGTCCTCCATCTGTAAGTACATCTTCAGTAAATACAGGTATGCTGATTCTCTTGTCTCAAAATCATTCTATTTTGCTTGTCTATTGTCTTTCAAAACTATAGCTTTTTTTTGAGAGGATATTTGGTAATCTGCAGTGAATGAATCCAAATAATGCTTTTAGCAAGGTAATCAGTTGTTTCATTGCCAAGGATTCTGAAATAAGCTTTGATCCAGGTTATCGAAGATTTAGTGCAATATGGGATGCTGTGCAGAATCATTCAAATAGTGCAGACTATACCAAGTATGTTTTTAGAAATAGTATCTATTCTTTTCTGGTTATCTATGTGACTGCTCATATTGTAACCAGAAGTTCAGTCTGGTAACACTGTTGTTTGTTGGGAGGCAATCTGCTTGATAATTTCAAGATAATTTTGTTCTCTTGTAAGTTCATCCAGGTGTTGCCCGTGTGAGAACTGGTTTCCTGATAACTCACGGCCATGCAGAAGTTGATTAAGTAAGTGCATATATTTATACAGTGTAAAGTGTGTGATCCAGATGTCCAGTAACTGGAATGATTTATTATCTAAACTTCCATGAAACTTTAAAAAAAAAATTTTTTTTTTTTTCTTTTTTCGCACACAGTGGGAGAATGAATACTATTGTTCCTATTAACTGTGTTTTTTTGTGTGGGTGCAGAAAACAGCATTATTTGCAATAATATTCAATCATGCTGCATGTTGTTTTGGCTTGAAGCACTTGCTGGCTAGAAAATCACATTTTTATTTTCACCTCTTATATGGTTAATGAGAAGTTTTTTTTTTTTTTTTTCGGGGGGGGGGGTTCAGTCTACATTACATTACACTGTTACATTAATGAAGCAAAACAAAAATTAACATTTTTCCTTTCCATTTTTTGTTAAGATTATAAATGCTTTATTGTTTCATAAATAACCTTTCATATTTTAAATTTTCTATGTGGCAAAGTCCAAATGTGTACACTATGCAACTACAATAATTTAAAGCAGAAACATCATCTTACACAGAGATGACAATGACAAATAAATTAATGAATTAACAAGGTACTTAGATTTAAAAAATATTTTGTCTTTCTGTTACTAAAGAGAATTTTTCAATGTTTTTATCAGATTGAGGCCTTTGGTAAAAATTAGCGTATGAGTTAAAGCAAAGTTCTTTATATATCTTGTTTTACTGAATTCTTTTCTCCACAATAATTTTTTATAAACTTGAAATTGATTTCAGTTACTGTTTAGTGATAATTTAAAAATAACATTTTTTAAAAGATTAGTTTATGGTCTTGAACGAGTTAGAAGATTTGCATTATTAAGGCATTTAATTAGTTGTCCTTATAATTTCCAAATTATAATTTATATGTATATTTTATTATATTTATTATCAGAAGGCTTTTTGAATAGTCTTTTAAAAGTATAACTGTTGAATTTTTAAAGTAGTAACTGTTGAAATAAAGTATCTGTTAGATACTTTACAGCTGTTGGTTTATTTAGATGCTATTGGTTATACTGTCCTTTTTTTAGGATGCTCTGATGAAAGTTTTGGTATTCATGTCGCAAGGCTAGCAAAATTTCCTGAAACAGTTATTAAGGTATGTTTTTGGTTTTATTTTTGGTTCATATTCTTTACTAATTTAAACTGTACCAAAAAAGAAAAGAAAATTAGGAAGGTAGTATTGTACTTCTTGTTCTAGTCAGCCAACAAAATTAAAGTTGTATTCTTCAAGTCTCGAAGGAACAAGTTAAGATTGCATTAGATTTCTCTATTATTGCAAGAGAAAATCAAAATTTTCTTGAAATAATATAATAGTTTCCCTGAAAAAAAAAAAAAAAGATTCATTCAATGCCCTTTAACCTTTCAGCAGTTATGAGATTATGCAATTCTTTCCTTCTGAATAACTGTGATGTCACGTGATGATCGTTTTTGTGTAGAGTTTTTGAAATTTTAGTTCTGTAATTTGAAGAATTTTATGGCCATACATTGTAGTTAATAACTTTGATCTATTTTTACAATGTTAAAAGCCACTTACATTGCATAAGGAATGAAAATTTAAGCATCCCACAGCCATCAGCAAGTTTCTGCACTGATATGCTTTTTGAGGACCTGCCCATTTAAGTTATTTTACTATCGTATTGTATGGGAATGTTAGTTTTCTATGTTATTAATTTATGAAGTTAATTTTACATTGCTTTACAATAAGAAAATATTTTGGTTTTACATTGAATACAATAGTTTCTACAAGAAGACTTTCAAGACGGCGACTGTTGAAATTACATTATTATATTCCAGCAAAGATTTTTAAGAACAGTGAATGTTTCTAATTATTTCTTACAAACTTTTAAAACTGGACTTGAAAACATTTCATTCTTCTAAAATTTTCAGTAAAATCTGAAATTTGTATTCATTGACCAAAAATGTTGTATTCAAAATTTAGATCAAAATTCTCTTGTTTTGCTAACTCTAATAATTTTTCGATAAAGGCTTTTCTGTTGCTAAGCTTTTTTTCTCTTTGAAGGGGATCTATGTGAAATAAAAAAAATATGAAACTGAAATTTACTCATTTTAATTTGGCTATGTCCCTTCTTATCTTAAAAATACCAACGTATAAATCTAAAATGCATCATCTGAAAAATTAATTCGCTTTGAGTTTATGTAATTATCCTGCAATGCAGTAAACTCTCAGCCAATCAGATTAAAGAAATGTTGTCTATAAATATTGCTGTTTTTCTGTTGCATCAGACCCTTTTTATTTTCTCTATTCCTCTCACTGCTACTTGTATATGTTCGCTTTGCTTCCATTGTGGGAGAATGCAAGTTTTCAAAATTGTGTGGGTGCATACTGCACCCGTGATGATATGTTAACTATGTGTTCAAATGATGTGTCTGTCTTCAAAGTGTCATCCTTTTATCTATTTATCTGTTTAATTCGAAGCCTTGAGTCATCATCTACACTGAAACATCACACACACATATGTATGTAATAAAATCAATTTTGGTGATGACATAAATGCTAATCAGGAAAACTGTTCATAAGAAGATAGTTGCAGTCGTGGCTAATTCAGCATGTTTCAGGTGTGTGCCTATCTTTTTAACAAAGTACTTCTCACATTTTTGAAGCATGCTATAGAAAGGAGGGGAATGCCCAGATCATAGGGTGTCGATTTGGTAAAACTGAGTCAGGGTTCGTAGTGGTCCTTATAAGTGCTTATAAGTCCTTATATTTGAAAATAAAATATAAAGGCCCTTATAGGTGCTTACTTTTTATTTAAAGCCCTTATTTTTTTGTTTTTAGTGCTTATTTTTTGCTTATTTTATTTATTAATTTTTTTTTTAATTAACGCGCAATTTTCCCCCGTACCAAAGCCGAAACTAAATAAACAACTTTTCTTCCTAATATGGAATGTCAGATGGTGAGTCATACTCCCAAAAATAGCTTTTCCCCCTTTCTCTTGCATTAACATAACCTTTGGTGTGCGCGGAGAGTACAGATAGGTGGCCGTCGTTCTGTTGGTCAAAGAATTGCGAAAGCACAGAAAATTCCGGTACATTCGGCATTCTCTTTCCTTCCCACCCAAATACTACACACGTTTGAATTTCTATCAAGATCCTTAATAATTTGCATCCTCGTTCCGCATGGTCAGTTCATATTCGTGCTTATTATGATCCGTTATGCTTATATTATGAGTATGTGTATGAATGCTCATAATAACATAGTTGCAGTAACTGCTGAAAAATAGTAAACTTCCAAAAGTGGTTGTGTTTTAACACATATTAGCATTCTAATTAATAATATTCGGAATGGCTTGAATAAAGGGAGAGTAATCGAATAATCAAAATAATTTCATTTTTTTTGGCCAATACCATTATACAATACGAAGGTTGGGAGGTTCTCCCCTTTCTCTCCGGAAAATCTCGAATATTGAAACTGTTACAGTTCACTGCAAAACAAGCAGCAGACTTTTTTTTTGGGGGGGTCATCATTGTCCAATCTGGATTGAATAGGACTTAAAAGTTTTTGCGGTCTACCCAACCCAAGCGAAAAATTATTCTATTCCGGAAATTTAACGCAGTCTGTTCAAAATTAAAATCAAAAACTCCCCAGATTAGTAAGTCTCTTTCTTTTCCTTTATGTTAGTTCTTTATTCGGATTCCCAATACCGGCAGCTGTTGAATCTGATTGCGTAATATCACGTATGGAAGAATTACGCCGCACATATTGGCGCAATAACGTTTGTGGGTATTTTGCAGAGATGAATTAATTTTGATGTTTCAGTCTGAGATTTATTTATGAACACTTAAAACAGTTTTACTGTGCCTTCTAAGCAGAATATTTCTCAGTTCCGTCGGTCTATTTTTATATGATGCGCATATCGAAATGTCAAAATTATTCCGTATTTAGCCGAGAAATCTAAACAACGGCTCTACAATCTCCCCCCCTTCCTCTTTTTCCAGTTACGCTCAACAATATGGAATATTCGAAAAATTCCGAGTATGCGGGTTAGTTAAGCTTTTGCTGTTAAAAAATGACTGCATGAAGCAATTTCCTGTCTCCTGATTTCAGAAATGTTTCCTCTTTTTTACTTAAATTACTTTTCTTGCAATATCTGTTAAAGGAAACTGATATACGACGAAAATTTAGAAAATGTTCAGAATTTAGATTTAAATTAGTTAAATATCAATATGAGTGGGAAAATAAAGTGTATTTATTATTAAGTTCCAAGCGAATAGAATAAATATGCCTTATCATTATTTATTTCCTCTATTTTGAACTGAAATTTCATCATTAACTCTTGTAATATAGTTTAGTTCTGCATAGTTTTTTTTTCTCTCATTGCAAACTAGTTCTGTATATTGAACTGTTATTTAAAATTTAAAAAAGAGTAATTATTATCCATGGTTGAGGTAATGCTTATTCTCTTTTAATAAATACTGCATTTCTCATATTTTAAATTACGAGTCTAATTTTTAAGGTTATGCAGTTGTGTATAATGTAATTAGACAGGTGCTTATTTTTTTTCTTAAAATGTGCTTGAAAAGTGCTTATAGGTGATTATTTTTTTTAACTAAAATGTGGCTATGAACCCTGTGAGTTTTGGTTTGACTTTATTCTGATTGGTTGCTAAAAGTTTCAGTTTGCAAATTTCGATATTCTAATTGGCTGAAGCATTATGTAAATACTTGCATCATTCTCATTATGTAAGAATTATTGATTAATTTTGAAATAATGCAGCATAAAATGATTTGGTATGAGTAAGTAGTATTTTATCTAGCATGCACACACACTCAGCCTTCAAAGAAATTACGTTTTAGTTCTGGTTTCATCAACAGATGGCATTTGTAGCTTATCTCCTGTCCAGGCTTTCTTATCTTATCTAATCATTATATCTTATCTCGTTCATATGCGCTTTTGCAGCTGAGGATGATGGTTCAGTAAAACCATCGAAACTAGTCCTGTGAAAATTTGAAAATATTACGCTGATTTTTGTTGTTTGACTTCTAAATTAATATTTGTTTGGCATGTTAATGTATCTTAATATATATACAGTCAAAAGTTGTTAATCCGGACTCGTCGGGACTTCGGCGATTCCGGATTATAGATCATCAGTTTAAATCTTGTAAGATGGCATGCAGAAATTCTAAAATTAAAAATATGAAACCATAATTTATGAAATAAAGAACAATTATGATCTAAGGGTATCAAAATTTACAAAAAAAAAAAAAAAAAGCTTAATATTTATTTGTTTACTTTATTAAACATTTCTTTCAATGTAAGTTGTTTAAGTTGCTTCTTCGTTTTTGTGATAATACTTTCTCTTTAATTCTATAAACAGACATAATTTCTTGTTCAGTTACAAAGTCCCGTTAATTGCTGTGCCGAGAATACCGACTAACTTGTGAATCGAAATTTTTTCGTTTTCACTCACCTCTCTGTCACATTCTTCATGTCTTTATCCATTTTTTGCAGCAATTCCACTTTTTGTTTGATGGACATCGAAACATACTTTTGTTTTGTATGATTCTTTGGGAGCTCCAGAATCGGAAATTCTATTTGACATAATCGAAAGTTCAAGTTTACTTTTATAGTATTGCTCTTACAGTCTGCAAAAAAATAATAAGCCGGATCCAGTTCGAAAATTAAGGAACAACGCAACCATCAACATTAACTGATATAGATAATTAGATAATTTTAGCTTATACTTATGCATAAAACGCGCACGCGAAAACGTATTCTGCATTTGCGCACACGCATATGCGCAGTCGTAAAAAGTCTTACGCGCATGCGTAAACGCCTGTGCGCATGTGTCAACGCGGCGCGTGCGCAGAAAGTATTTAGCTTTGAGGTCCGGATTATAGATCATTCTGGATTATGGGTGTCCGAATTAACGACTTTTGACTGTATATGTTAAAATAAAATTAAGAATTATTTATGTGCATAACTGATTATGCATTTCAATAGTATTTTCAGAAACTAACTTTTAATCCCTTGAAAACAAAGACCTTGTTTGATTATAATATTTTTATTAGTCGTTTGCAGATGGCTTAGTGTTTGGATATGTAAAGAGTACAGGGTGGCCCAAGATAAATCAAAATGGATATGGGAATGGAGAACTCAAAAAGCATTAGTCTATTCAACATCACAACAAACAATAACACATCAAATGCTACATAGCAAGCTGTTATGCACATTGAACTTGTCTCTCATTTACTTATGTAATATTGCCTTCATGCATTCTTCACTTGCTTTGGGTTTATCTTGGACCATGCTGTACTTCATCTTTAAACTTTGTTTCATCAGAAATAGGTATCTTTTCACAAAGTAGTTAAAATAGTTAAATTGTAGTTATTTCATCCTATATTTTACTGCTGATAAAATGAATTAGTTTTCCTTATAAGTAACTTAACATATGAAAGACAATATCTTTAGACTATCTTTCATTGGGTTATGTAAATCTGGTGGATAACTTGTTTATTCAAAATTGATTGTTGAATTCAAAATGGAAAAATAGCGTTTATTTTGCAAAATGACATGAGATTTCATATTCTTGGTTAATTTTAAGCTTGCTTGTGGGCACCTCTGTTGTATTTAGATTTTTATATCTTTTTTGCATTTTTTAAGAGAAAAGTATTTCCTCACAAAGTACTTTGTTGTTAATTAGTTGGGTAATATGATTTATTTAAGTTTTATATCATTTAATTTAATTTTATTTATTTTTTAGTTTATTTAATTTTCCATAAGTTTTATTTTCCTAAAGTATTTTGGGTCATTTAAAAAGATTTTTACTGCTTTCTAATTTTTTACATTGATAGGGAAGAGATTTGTTTTAAAAAATGTAATTTTTTCCTTTAAATTAATAATGCATTTATATTGTGAAGTAGGTAATTGTTTCATATATTTTATTAAAAAAGACTTGAAGTTGTTTAAATTGTAAATTTTCCCTTAATGATATGTAGTTAATTATGGTAAAATTGTTTTTAATTAATTTTAGAAAGCAGAGCAAACATTGAAGGAGTTGGATGAAACTCATATTTCTCTTGAAGAAATTGCAAGCAAATTTTCATCTGTTCCTGAAGGAGAAGTAATAATTAGTTTCAATTTTTATAGAATCAAATAAATTGTGATAATGAAGTAAATTAAAAAACAGGCGAAAGTGATTTAAATGTCAGGAAATTTTCCCCCGTTTCTGGTTCTGTAGTTGAACAAATAATGAAATACTTATTAATCTATTGAAAACATTACTCATTGGAACCTCAGTTTATCATTTTAATGGGGTGGAAGACATAAAACAGAAACAATCCAAATATTAAGCTTGGAAAATATTATGTATAATACATACCTGCCAACTTTTACGAATTTTTCTAAATTTTTACGAAAATGTGTTTGTCTTTACGATTTTACGATCGTAATCCATTTTTTACGATTTTTTTTTTCAAGTGTTTTTAGTGATTTTTGTCGAAATTTTAGAATTTTTCGCCAATTGCATCGTTTTACCGCCAACTACAGACTACTCGAATCAGTAACCTGCGGTTCTCCCAACCGCGGTAACCAGCCAATCCAATGCGGTGAACTTCTTTCTCCCACTCTTTTTTTGTGGGGGATTATTTTTTGCGTAGATGTCACATTCTGTTTTTTTTTTTTTTTCTGTGCCGAATGGCAAGTACGTCGGGAGCATAGCTCCTGGTAGGGCCACCCTAGGCGTGAAGGCCGTTCCAACATGCCCAGCTAAAGCATAGCAGGTGAAGAACCCTCAGGGGATTGCCGTCTTGGTGATCGGGTGTCACACTCCCGGGCCCCAGTGACCTTCCTCTTTCTCTCTTTCTTTCTCTCCTCTTGTCTAGCTCTCTCTCTCCTATTTCTCTCCCTTGTGGTTTCCTCTACTGGAGGTTGGGGCTCACTGTGAGATGCAGCTACTACTACTCTGGTTTCTGTTTCACCATGGTGAGAATACCGCCTATGCGTTTGCCGTGCATGGTGACCCGTAGGGTGGGAAAGGAGGATCCTGGCAGTTGAGGGGCGAGGTACTGTCCCCAACACACTGCTTTGGCCTCTGCTTCTACTTAAAACGGGAGGCACTTAGCTGTCCCCGCTAGTGTCAATCGGCTGGTCACTAGTCCTATTGGTCAGTGGCTAGGGGATAAGCTCTCGGAAGTCTCCGCTTTCGGGAAAGCCGACTGTGGGGCTTCAGTTTGCGTATAGGCCCGGCTAGCCCTAACACAGGGATCTGTGTTCCCTTGTTGGGCTCCATGGTGGGTGGGGCGGTCGGGCCCGAAACTTTCTCTCTTTTCAATATGAAAACTTTAACTTCTTCTCCTAACCATATGGATACGAAAAATTCTGGAGCTGCTAAAAGAATTTGCACTTCGACCTTAGTTAGCACAAGCAAATGTCCAAAGTTCTTAGTTATTACTGGTCAGCTAGAAAATTTATCACCATTCTTCATCCATAAGCATATTGTGGCCTCAGCAGGCGAGCCAAAACACATAAAAAGCTCCGTTCAGGATCTCTGCTCATCGAGACTACATCTGATGCACAATCTTCCTCTCTCCTAAAAATGACCAAAATGGGGGAACATTCTATTACTGTATCCCCACATAAGTCTTTGAACACGTCAAGAGGTGTCATTTCGGAAATAGACTTGATATCAGTCTCTGAGGATGAACTTTCAAAAGAACTCGCCGAGCAAAATGTGTGTGGGGTTCGCCGAATAAAAGTCCGTAGAATAAAAGTCAACACAAAACATCTTATTCTGACTTTTTCATCTCCAGAGCTACCGAAAGCCATTAAGGCAGGTTACCTGAATTGCCCCATCAGACCTTACGTGCCGAACCCACTGCGCTGCTTCAAGTGTCAACGGTTTGGCCATGCGAAGGCCGCATGCCGGGGAAACCTGGCATGTGCTCGCTGTTCTGCAGGTGGTCACGAAAGTCAGGAATTGTGTAGCTGATCCAAAATGTGCAAACTGTCATGCCGATCATCCAGCATACTCACGAAACTGCCCTAAGTGGAAAGAAGAGAAAAAAATACAGCATATTAAGACTACAAGAAAAATCTCCTATCCTGAAGCTAAGAAACTTTTTAGCACGGGTCAGTCAAAAGCAAATGTCTCCTATGCACAAGCCACTAAATCATATCGGTCAATAAGTACACAAACATACACATAACGCACACAGAACGAACAGAGCACGACATAGAAGAAACACAAAAAAAGAAATGAACCAAAAACAAATGACAAAGAAAAAGTTTTTCTTCTACCTCCTCCCAAACAGACAATAGAAAGTCGAGAAATAAAAACACAAGAAACAGAGAGTTCAAAAAAGAAAATCAAAAGCTCAGAAAAGAGAAGCTCAAGCCGAAGCTCTATTGAAGGGACCTTTTCAGACTTTATCGAATCTGAGATGGAAACAGATGGAGGCAGAGATCTCTCGAAAAATGTTCTACCTCACAAAACAAAGAAACAGCATCGAAGCAATAAACATTCCTAATGGCTACTCTCATTTCGTGGAACTGCCGGGGCTTCTATCAGGGTATTGATGGCATTAAGCAACTTATTAATAAATATCGACCTATTTGTATAGCGATACAAGAGACATTCCTCAAACCTGGTAATTTTGCAAAGCTACGTAGATACTCGATGATAAGAAAGGATAAGACATTCAGTGAACGCGCAAGTGGTATTGTCTGTCTACTTACCTCAATTAATTGCCCTTCGAGTGCTCTCCCTTTGGATACTCCTCTCCAAGCAGTTGCAGTACAGTTGAGCATTCGAACACTGACTACTGTTTGCAGTATTTACATCCCGCCTAATGAGAACATTAATTTAAGAGATTTAGAGGATCTAATTGCCCAACTACCAGCTCCGTTTATTCTAGTCGGTGATTTCAATGGACACAATCCCTTGTGGGGTAGTAAAGACACAAACCCACGAGGGAAGCAAATTGAACAGCTACTCCACGACCACTGTCTCTGTATCCTTAACAACGCAGAAAGCACTTATTTTCATCAGCCAACAAGGACCTTCCATTCCATTGACCTTGCTATTGTTTCTCCACAGCTTTTGCCATTTTGTTTCTTTAATGTCGAGAATTATCTATATAATAGCGATCATTTTCCTATTATCATAAGCATTACAGGAAATAGGAGTGTTTTTATACCTAGAACACCACGCTTTTTGTTGGACAAAGCCGACTGGGACTCTTTCATACATTATGCTCTTTTCACTGAAGAAATAGTAAAGAATGTGCACATTGATCAGGCTGTGAAGATCATTACAGATAAAATTATTCAAGCAGCTGATATATGTATACCAAAAACGTCGGTAAAACAGCCAAAATACCCAAAGCCCTGGTGGAATCCTGAATGCCAGGACGCCATCAGAAAACAAAGGAAAGCTTGGAGCATTTTTCGGCGATATCCTTCAGAATCAAATCTCGTAATATTCAAAAGGGCTAAAGCAAAAGCTCGGCAGGTGCGAAGGAAAAGTCAGAAGAATTCTTGGATCTCGTATGTGTCTTCGATTAGCTCTTCAACTTCGAGTAAGAAGGTGTGGGAGAGAGTCCGGAAAGCGTCCGGTATCTACAAAGAGCACACACTTTCCATTTTAAAGACAAGTGGTGAAACAGTTACTAGTAGGGAAGAAATTGCCAACGCTATTGGACAGAGTTTCTCAGCCGTCTCACACAGTAGTACTTGGTATTAAGATTGAATATATATACATTCCAAGATCATCCCTTCTAAAAAAATACTTGGCAATATACAAAAGAATATAAAGAAAAGGATAAAAAACTACCCATTCTACAACATAAAATCAAAACTTTTCCAGACATTTTTAATCATTTTTTACAATTTAATCAATGTTGCCAAATATTAAAACTTAAATTATGCTTTATAAACAAATACTATCAATTCCCCCTTATTTGTATTAAAGATATAATTTTAATCAGTCATTCATGTCCATACTTTAATAGTTATCTTTTAATTTCACCCTAGGTAGATACTTGTTAAAATATCCGCTTCTTGATTTTGTGAACACACAAACTGAGGAATGATTTGATCATTTCATGTTCATCCTTAACGAAGAAATATTTTTTATTAATGTGCCTTGAACTGCTACTTTGTTTGGTTTTTAATCCAATTACTAATGCTTGACAGTCTGTTTTAATTCCTATGGTTTGTCATTAGATCATCTTGACCCAATTCTTCAAGTAAAAAGATGTACCATTTAACTTCACATGCACTTCGCAGATGCTAAAGTTCAGCTTCATGTAGATAGAGCAACTATTCTTGTTTGTTGCACTTCCAATTTATGAAATTTTTTGCCTAATTTAATGAAATAACCTGCAAATGATTTTCCATCTTCAGTGGTACACCAACTGCATCTGATGTAGCATTTAAATTTCCATTGTCTGAAGATACCTAAACAAGTTTTGTGTTCCTTTAATATATAAATATCCTCTTTACAGCTTTCCAGTGTTCTCTCTGAGATCTGATATATCTTGACAAATTACTTACTGCAAAAGCTAAGTCTGGCTGTGCCTGTTGCTAAGTACATCAATGAACTAATGCTTCTGATATTTTGTCTTCGACACAGGTGGTGAAGATGCTTGTCATCAGATTTTCACCCATATTCCTGGGTTGATAGGTTTACATTCATCCATTTCAAGTTTTTAGATTTTAGTTATATAGTTTTCTGACTGCGTATAAGTTTTTTCCAGATCTTGCCGGATGTCTATTCCTAAAATTTTTGTGTTGAGTGACTTCTCGTAATGTGAACGATTTAGGTTGAGAGATGATGTCATTTACTCAGAATTGAATTTTCCAATCAGCATTAAGTCATCCACATATACTGCTATGATAAAATATTTGATCTTATCTTTATAAATAAACACACGGATCTGACTTTAGTCTAGTTAAATTCTTTCTTTAAGAACTTTACATAATTCATCATACCAGCATTTTC